CCCCAAAACCCCAAAACCCCAAAACCCCATTTTAGGGCTCATGAGTTGAAGAAGAAAATTTAAATTAGGAATTCTGCGGAAATGAAAGCCATTATGAATAAGAAGAGATATAGGAAGCTCCTACAAAAAGAGACAGATGATTTTTCTAAGATCCAAAGAGCCAGATTAACTGATTCAATGATGAGTAACTTCCAAAATGGCTTATCAGTGCTTGGTATGGCCAAAACATCACAGGAGGCAGATACTTCTAATAAGCTTCCTAATGGAGGAGATTTAATTGACAGTTCATTCCTGGATGAAAACCAGGATTATGGAAACGTAGCTGCAATGCACAATCAATACTTCTTGTGGGAAAACCGTAAGCTCGAGTGCAAGGTTGAGGCCCTTAAGCAGACAGTGAGTAAATACTCCAAGAAGAACTTTAGCTTGAGAGCAAGCATGAAGAAAAACAAAAATGTAGACCAAATCAAAGCAATTAAGCAAGACAGATTCGAATGGCAGATGCGCTGCCAGAAGGCCGAGGAGAGGCTTGAACTTCTAGAGGATGTTGAAGAGGTCGTACATCAAAAACAGCAGCTAGAGCAAACTCTTAAAGAAGCTCATAATCAGCTCAAGCTTTGACAAAAGGAAAATGAAGCTGAATTGAATGAAAACCAGAGACTCAGAGCAGAAATTGAGAAGAGAGTTAAGGAAAAATTTAAAGAGTATGGCTCTTCACAACTTCAAGGAAGTGAACAAGACTTCAAGACTTTATTTACAATGATGAATAGGAGGATTGAGAACATCCTTGAGTGCCCTCTTACAAGGGATAGAATAAAAACACCCATGATCTTGCCCTCTGGGAATACTATAGACAAGTCTTTTATGGATTATCTTGTGCCTGCAAGGAAGCCAGATCCATTTGATAAGACCAAAATTTGTGATAGAAGAATTCATAACCTCTTTGTCTCAAATGTAATAGATATCATGGATGAGGTCCATGAATATATAAAAAATATCAAATCTGAAAGCCCTGAAGAGGCTGTTCCCATCCCAAATGACTCAGGAGTTAATTCAAGCTCTAAGAAGAAGAGAGGAAAACTCAAAGGAAGAAAGTGCCAGAGCTTTATGAACTCACAAATGACTCAAACTAATGATGACAGAAAATTTGAATCTAGAGGATGACAGACTAAACTTACCCCTCTGGGTCTTGGAAGTGTTCCTACTCAGGGAGCATTGCCTGTTAGTTCATGTGCTAGATCCTCTACTCTTGAATCAGAGAAGGAATCTATTGTTGAAGAGCAAAAAGAGGAGGAGGAGAAAAACATAAACTCTGAGGATAGCTCAAGATTTCAAGAACCAAACCAAAAACTCTTGAGTAAACTTATAGTTGGCGATAATGGAGTTTCTGAAGAACTTAATGATAATCTAAGTCAAAGCTCAGAAGAATCCGTGCACCAACTACAGCCATTTAAAGTATCCCTTGTCCCCGAAGGAATGCAGAAACCTCAGGTTGTGGGTATCGACTTTGAGAATGAGGACGAGCAAGTGGATCCCCATCCATCACGATATAATTTAAGAAGAACTAAATTGAGAAGACTGGAAATGAAACACAACTTCTCCGATATCTTGAGCATTATCAAATCTGAGCAATTTGCTTTCCTTGAAGACAACAAGAAAAAGCAGAGAGCCAGAGGAAGAAATGTTAAGAGTACTTATAAAAAAATTGGGCATGTTCAAAGAAAGAAGAGAAAAAGAGCTCCCACTAAGATTTCTATTTTGAATAAATATTCAGGGTCCAAAGATGTGTTAACCCAAGCTGAAGCTAAAATTGAGCAGTCTCAGTAATTCAGTAAAAGCAGTTACTAAACCATTACCCAGCCAGTATGGATTTAGCACATAGAAAGAGTACTTCTTTGTGGGCTTGCCAACTTCTTGAGGGAAGACATTGCACTCCAGAGGATAAATATTCCTTAAAATTTGGTTGAAAATATTTTCTTCAGGGGTAAATGAGTCCAAAATCTAATTTTAAATTTCAATTCAGACAACTCCAATTGGGGTTTTGGGGTTTTGGGGTTTTGGGGTTTTGGGGTTTTGGGGTTTTGGGG